CTCCTCCTCCTCCTCCTCCTCCTCCTCCTCCTCCTCCTCCTCCTCCTCCTCCTCCTCCTCCTCCTCCTCCTCCTCCTCCTCCCCCCCCTGACGTTGCCCCGTGGTTTTCGGGTCACTCCTTGGCTCTTCGACGGCCGTGCGGGACGGTCTGGGCACCCGCGGACAACGCTCTCGGCGAGGCACCGCTGCTTGGGAGCACCCTGAGGCTGGAACGCCGCCGAGAATGGACGAAGACGCCCGAACCTCTGACCCCCTGAGGTTGCCCCCGATTCCCGCCCTCCTCGGGTGGGTGGACAGAAAGTGTCCACACCAATCGCGCCAAGATGAAACGACATCGAACTGCATCGAACCAATATCCATAGCCTCCGCCCTCCCCAACCCAAAGTTGACGGGGTTGGGTGCGAGGCAACGCGCGGGGGACAACATATGGACACTTCAACTTTGGGTCTGGGGGTGAGGGGGGGCCGAGCCAGATGCAGATTAAAACTGTCGTTGCCAGCATGCCTGAGTGTCCTCACGCCGTCGGCATGGACACTTCTTGTCCGGGCACTGGCCCCCCCCGACTGCCCCACGCCCCCTACGCTTAGGTCGTGCCTGTCCTCCTACAGGGGGATTCTGGGCGAAAAATTGAAAATCCTGTAAAAAATATACTCAAACATGCCCAGACATAGTCAAAACAAATTGTCCCCTGACTATCTTTTGACTGTTCTGGAATATCCCTCCTGTAGAGGGACAGGCCCGAATTGACCCTACGCCCCTCTCTCTGCAGCCCCCCCGCCGCTCGCGCCCCCCTGTCGGGCTGGGGGAGCTCGCGCCCCCCAGCGGTCGAGGGCGACGGGCGCGCCGGCGACCGCCTGCCGCCCGCCCGGGACACGGATGGGCGCTGCGCCTCTGCCCCCAGGACTGAGCTCGGGCATGTCCTCCTCCTACACGGGGCGTCTGGACGACAAATCAGAATAGTCAAAACATGTCCAAAATAGTAAAAGGTGATCGGGAAATCGCCCACCGACTAATTGATGGACGATTTTTGAATATATATATATATATATATATATATATACATACATACATACATATATAGAAATACATATATATATATATATATATATATATACATATTATATATATTATATTACGTTATATGTGTATGTATATACATCATATATCTGTATATATTCTATATCTATGTTCCTCCTGCAGAGCGACAGGCCCGATTCACCCCAGACCCGGGCGTGGCAATTTTTGAAGGAGTGCGCGATGCAGCGTCGCTGGCCTGAGCAATTTCCTCGAAGGGGCGGGGGTTCACAAGCCACGGCCCCCTTTCCCCCAACAAAAAGAAACTACGAAGGTGGGGGGGGAACCCAGCCCCCTCCCCCCCCGAACCTCACACACACACACACACACAACACACACACACCACACACAACACACACAACACACACACACACACACACACACACACACACACACACGCACACACACGCACACACACACACACACACACACACACACACACACACGCACACACACACACACACACACACACACAACACACACACACACAACACACACACACACACACACACACAACACACACACAAAATGATTCGGGGGGTCCGGGACCAAACCCCCCAGCAACGACGACGACGACGACGACGTCAGCGGCGGCGGCGGCGCACCTGTCGTCAGCGCCCGCGACAGGCGCCAGCTCTGAATGCTACCAGGGCTCGACCCACCTCTCAGTATCCTACCAGTGCCCCACTGTATTGTACACTACTCTGATCTAGATTACTCCACTCTACTCTACTCTACTCTACTCTACGTTCCTCTACTCTATTATACTCTGCCCCATTCTGCTCTACCCTACTCTACTCTACCATACCATACCTCCGAACACTCTCATATAATCAACTTTACTATTATTCTACTCTACTCCTTTCCTACTCTGCTCTACTCCATTATACCGTGCTTACTTACTCCACGATGCTCTCCTCTACTCTACTCTACTCTACTCTACTCGAGTCTACTCTACTCTACTCTGCCCTACTCTATTCGATCCTACTCTACCCTACCGTACCCTACTTCACTCTCCTCTACTCTACTCTGCTGTGCTCCTAATCTGCTCAACTCCTACCCGACTGAGCTCTACTCGACGTAACTAGTGATGACCAGCACGGGTTGCGTGCTATCGACGGAGCTGAACTTGAAAGACACCAAAAGTTGGCCAAGACACGTCCTGAGGATCGACGACTGGGGCTGCGCAGGCTGTCGCGGGCTCTGACCTGGGTGGTCGGCACGGGAGCGGGGTCACCTTTTCGGCTCGTGCCAACATCGCTCACACACTCCAGAGCGAACGCTGCCTACTCTTCAGCACGGCCAGGGAGGGGGACACCAGCCTCTCCTTGGAGGCCTTGAAACCGGCACCAACACCAACACTGGGGGGTGCCTCCGCCGAGGGAAGATGATCCTGGATGTTGGTCTGGTGGTGATATTCGGCCCACCTGGCATGCCCGAATACTACCACAATCACCGAGGTCGGGAGCATCTTCCCTCGGTGGAGGCACACCGCCGATCTTGGTGTTGGTGTCAACCCCCAGGCCTCCGATCTCCCCCGAATCGGGTGGAGGGCGGTGGCCGTAACTGCCCCGATACGCAGCACGCAACCCGCAGCGTGCTGACGCGGAGCTCAGCACGTAGACCGAGAAAACATGTAGGCCTGACGCGATGCGCTCGCCAAAACGCAGGCCCACACGCCGAGCCAACACGCAACGCATTGACGCGGACGTTCTCGGCACAGCACGTGCTGCGCTTCAAGACGGGCGTATCGAGGCAGCCACGGCGGTGGCCCGTCCCTCGACTCCGTGGGCCGCGGTGGAGAGCTGCGAGCCGCTCGTGCCCAGCGGCCTTCGGCACCTGCCCTGGCCCGGCGCGCGTGCCGCTCGGGGTGAGCTGCGCCCCTGCTCGCACGCGCGCCGGGAAAGCGGCAGACGACAGGGAACTACGGTAGAGGGAAACAATAACTGAACACTCCCCCTCCCCCCCAACCTCACTGTTGGCACGCGCGGGGGAGACTGCGGTCGAAGTGCATCCCATCAGACCCACCGCCAACTTTGAACATTGGGGGGAGGGGGAGCAGTTGACAGATGAATATGGCATGACTGTTCGCTAATTTGTTCCGAGGCCTGTAACAAAACTGCACAAACATAAAGCTGTCGGACCTCCGCCGCACGGATCTCCTGGAGCGGCGCTCGCCGGCCCAACGCAGGAGTGAGACCCTGGGCAAGAGTGGCCTCCGGGTGCGCGACCTTCGGGGCCCGCGGGGGGGGGGGGGGGGCCAAACACAAGCGCGCAAGACGCTACCATCGCCTCGCATCGGCGATCGGGGAGGAGGCGGGAGGAGGAGGAGGAGGAGGAGGAGGAGGAGAGGGGAGGAGGAGGAGAAGGAGAGGGAGGGAAGAGGAGGAGGAGGAGGAGGAGGAAGGGGAGGGGGGGAAGAGGAGGGCGGAAGAGGGGGGGAGGGGGGGGAGGAGGAGGGGGAGGAAGAGGGGCCCCGGTGGGCCCGCACCAAAGGTCACTCCAGCGAAGGGTCACTCTCGCGTGCAGTCGAGCTCTGCCCCCTCGGCGGCGCCTCCAGCGCCGCCCCCGAGGACGGCCTGGGGCCTCCGCTGGGCGCCTTGCCCGCTGGCCTTCTCGGCCACAACCCTCGGCACGTGGCGCCAGGGACGGGAGGAGGAGGAGGAGGAGGAGGAGGAGGAGGAGGAGGAGGAGGAGGAGGAGGAGAAAAGGGAGGAGGAGGACGAGGAGGAGGAGGAGGAGGAGGAGGAGGGGGATGGAGGGAGGACCAGGGGCCAGTGGTGTGAGAGGAGACGGGGACAGGGCGAGAGAGCGAGAGGCGGCGAGCACGGCCTCCACTGGCCTTCTGCTGTGGCTCCTGCTGCGCGGCGCCTGCTGCGGCTCCGGCGCCTGCTGCGGCTCCGACGCTGCTCGGGCTCCGGGCCCTGCTCCGGCTCCTGTGCGTCTTCTGCTGTGGCTGGACTGCGTGGCTGCTAAGGCTGGAGCGGAGGAGGGGAGGAGGGGAGGAGGAGGAGGAGGAGGAGGAGGGGGGGGGAGGGGGAGGGGGAGGGGGAGGAGGGGACGCGGGAGGTGGAGGAGCCCTGTGCGCAGTAGGCCTCCGTTAAGGACCGCACATGCTCTTTGGGAGGGTAGGGTCAAGGTGAAGTTGGGGGGCGGCGGGGTACAGATGAGGGAGGGGATCCATCCTTGCCACACCAAGGCGCTGCAGCATACTCTTGAATCCCTGCTGCTCCCAACTGCCCTGCATATCTTGGTTCTCGCCGACGCGCGCTACTGCCGTGCCAGGACCTGACCTTGATTGCATCGAACTTATGTGTTTTGCGGGAACGCTACAATCCGAGGATTCAAGTTGCCGCAACGTCGACAGCAAAAAAGATGAGGAGGAGGAGGAGGAGGAGGAGGTGGAGGAGGAGAAGAAGCGCTGGGCATCCCTCGCGGTGTACGCAGCCAAGCTGCACACGTGCGTCTTGTCGACTGGGGCCGTCGATCCAGACTGTGCTGGGCTCTCGCTCGTTCTTCCTTCCTTCCTTCGGGGCTGGACTTCGTCAAGCGGTGACGGCGTGCACAAAGAAGGAGGGGAGACAGCAGAAGAGAACGACGAGGATGAGAGCGGGAAGGGGAACGCTACAACCCTCGTCGAAATTGAACGCAAGTTTTTCCACCCCCGTCGCCCCCAAATTTCAATGTTCATCGACAGGCGCATCGCGGCCGGCGGGGTCCGAAGAAAATCTCGAAGTCGTCGGCGTCGGCGTGAACATTGAAATTGGGGGTCGGGGGGCGCCGCCAGGTCGCGGCTAAAACTTGCGTTCGATTTCGACGAGGGATGTAGGACGTTGGGGAGGATTCGATTGAAAGGGGAAGAACAGCTGCATCGCGCGCACTATAATTAGCTGGTGGCAACGATGACTCGGCACTGCCCACATGGAGATCGTTCTGCGTACTGGCACCTCCCAAGAGTACACTAATTACACATATGCAGACATTGCAATTGCGACTGAGTCGCAGTGGGCTGGACGGCTGACAAGACATAACACTGTCGCGGACGCACTGAAATGGCTGTATCCATCACAGATACAATAGTGCCAATGCTCAGATCAAATGTACTCACCGGTGCGATTCAACTACTTACATAAGTGGGCTGGGAGGATCACGACATTCAGTGTCACCATTTCAGGCCGTGGCGGAGAGTGAGCAAGCACTGTGGTACATCCATGAAGCTAGTACAACGACTAAGCTCCGATAACGACGTGGAAAACAGTGGGCGTATATACTGCACGATGAAAAAAAGAAACGTCCTGGCAGCTACAAAAGTTGCACATACGGCACGCTGCACTCGAACGGACACGACACGAATTGCACAGTATGACCACGCGCGGACTGCGAGCATGATGCCTCGGCGCGCCGATGGGTACGTGGGATGACTGCGTCCGTTTGGTGACGGCGGCCTCTCGCTTCCAGAAGACCTCCTCGGCCTACAGCCTACGCCAGACAGGCAGACAGAGTTCTCCAGGAACCAGTGTAGAGGCATCCAAAAAAGGTTCGAGCAGATGGGGTCGGAGGATCGCGCCGCATTGGCTATGCATCGCCGATGCATCGGCGCCGTCGGCATGGAAAAAGTCGCTCCACGGCGAGACCCATCGCCGATGCATCGGCGACGCGGCGCGATTCTTCGAACCCATCTACTCGGACATCCTTTGGGAGACCCGGAGTGCAGCCGTGGCGAATGCGCCCTCACAGCAGGAAGTGCAGCCTTCACAAACAAATGGCCGCATCGCCTGCGCTAAACAGTGCCCAGTCGGGCATACGAGGGGCGGGCGGGCGATGAGACTCGAGCCGAAACGCCCCGCCCAGGCACCGCTCACTCCGGGCATCGCGCTCATCTGCAGAGGATGCAGAGGGACGATCGATATCCCTGCGCCCCGACCTTGCGAGCAAAGAGCACATCCATACCTATGCCCACGCGGCCTTTGACGTCGAAGCTCGATCCCACGGATACGCGATCCCGTGGATGTGTTCCGCACGGGGCCTCCGCGCAGGGCCGCCCGGCATCCATGGGATCGCGGACCGGGACGCGTGAGCACGAGGCCGTGAACGTGGACGCGGACATGGATGTGGACATCGACACTCTGGGTACGGAGGAGGAGGAGAAGGAGGAGGAGGAGGGGGAGAAGGAGGAGGAGGAGGAGGGGGAGGACCATTTGGGAGGACTAGAAGCTGCAGACGCCGCTGCTCCCCGGACCTCCCGGGAAGCGCGCTCTGCGGCCGTCCGCAGCGGGGGCAGAGGGAAACTCGACCTCCCTCCCCGAAGGGGCCCAGGGACACACAAATAAATACACACAAATAAAAAGATTCCCCATATTTTCCCATATTTTCTTGGCTTTTGTCTTCCCCGCCACTTCCCATAGTTTCCCATCTTTTCTGGGGAGTCGACGATTAGTTCTGTCTGTGTGTTGCTTTTCCTCCTGACTCCCCCCTGAACCCTCTGGAGCAACGCGAGCTGAAGGAGGTCCGTCTTGGGCCACTGCGCTGGATCCCGCCTCCCGGCGGCGCCCCCTGCGCCGACCCGAGAATGGCCCGCGCGGACCTCCGACGGCTCATGTCTGTGCCACACGTTTGGCTACCTACCAGACCACCCCAACCTCCTCCTCCTCCTCCCTCTCCTCCTCCTCCTCCTCCTCCTCCTCCTCCTCCCTCCTCCTCCTCCTCCTCCTCCTCCTCCTCCTCCCCCTCCCCAACCCGAAGACCCGAATTTGACCCAAATTTCGGGTGGGGGGGGGTACGGACACCGTGTGTTTTTTCAACGTTCCCCGATCCCCCCCACCACTGGAAATGGAAGGCAGATTGAGGGCTTCGGGTTGGGTTGGGGTGGTTTGGTGGGTGGTGAACGTTTGAGCATCGCTTACCAGATCCCCATCGCCACCGGCGAAGGCTGGGTGGGCCCCACTGGCCGATTTACCCCCCCCCCGATGGGGATGCAGGCGGTTCCCTTCGGGCGAGGGGTACGTCTCCCCCTGGGGTGGTGGGATGGTGGGGATCGGGATGGTCACGGAGATGGGAAATAGGGATCGGTTCAACGATACTGACTTATGCTCATGCTACACTTGCTCCTCCGAGGCCGCTTGAGGCCCCTCGTGCGTGCCGCCGACGCGACCACCACAGAAACCAGGCCTGGCCAGCGCCTTCCTGGGGCCCGTGGTGGCGTTCCCGGGTAGCCCTCTGAGGGCTAAGAGGGCTTCAGATTCGAATTCGGTCGGGCATGTCCTCCTACAAGCGGATTTGGGGCGAATTTTTGTTTACCAAAAATGTCCCCCCCCCCAAAAAAAAACTTCCCCTGACTATTTTTGACTATTTTTGGATTTCCGCCTGCAGAGGGACGTGCCCGACTTAGGATTAGAAGAAGGCAACACAGGGTAGCCCCGCAGCTCTGTCCGGCGCCGGTCCAGAATCTCCGCGACGACCTGCTTTTGAGGTTGCAGCGGGTCCGGAGGCGTTTTCCGACTCCTTCCCAAAACGTTTGCCGCAAGCCTCGCCGCAGCCCCTTCGAAGCTCTTGGGGGGCTCAGCCCCAGCCAGCCTAAGCCAGCCACGCCTGAGCCTTAGCCTAAGCCAGCTCCACCTAAGCCTCAGCTTAACCTAAGCCTTGCCTAAGCCCAGCCTGGGCCCCAGCCTCAGCCTAAGCCGCAGCAGGTTTTCTGCGTCTTCGGGGGAGGCTCCGAGAACTTCTCTCAAGGCCGGGGGATGTCCGAGCCTTCTGAAAAGGCCTGATCTTTCTCGACTCCCCCTGGGCGCGCCGCCGAGGAATCGGCGATGCCGCGCCGACATGCCCCCTCGCGAGAGAACGAGCCCGCACTCCTCCTCGGCGGGGTGGGCTGTCGGGCTCCTGTCGTCGACGAGTGGGCCACTGCGGGGCCCGTGGGCCCTACCCCCCCCCCCAACAGCGTCGCCCCTGAACCGTGCCAGGGCCCGGGATGGCCCTGGCCAAGCAAGGCCAGGTCGGGCCTGTCCCCCATACAAAGGGACTTTGGACGAAGCATTACAAAAAGTCCCAAAATGCTCCATGAAAACTCAAAAATATGTGTTCTCTCTCTCTCTCTCTCTCTCTCTGTCACACACACACAAAACACACACACACACACACACACACACACACAGACACACACACACACACACAAACAAACAATCAAAAAAAAAAATGTTTTGACTATTTTTGAAGATTCCCCCTGTAGAGGGACACGCCCGACTTAAAGGCACGGCGATGGTGCACTGGGGGACCTTCTGCGGCTCGACCTCCCCAGACGTCCGTCCGCCGATCTGACTTGTTCGCTGCGGGGCCTCAGAGGTCACGACCGCCTCCCCGGGGGTAGCTCCTCGCCCTGGATGCCCGAAAGCGCGCCCCAGAAAGGCCCGCGCTCGACGAAAGACTCCCGGGCGGAGGAAGAAAATGAAGGGGCCCAAGGACACACAAAGAAATTCACGCAAATAAGCATTTCCCCATATTTCCCAAGATTTTCTGGTTTTCTGTTTTCCCCCCACTTCCCATACTTTCCTATATTTCTGGGGAATCGACGATGAATTGTGTCTGTGCGTTTTTTCCCTCCTGGGAAACACATCGTCGGAGGCCTGGGACCGCGGAACGATGATCCCCAGAACGTGTGCTGGCGCCAACGTGTGCCTGTCCACCGGAGGCCTTCAAAACGACGCAGTCGACGCAATGAGGGCCGAACGAGGGAAACACGCACACACACAAACACTGTTTGCGTCGGCGGCTAGGCAGGTGAACTGCGCTGGCCGAGGGCTACCTAAGCGGGGATATACCGTTGTAGCGAAGTGTGCCACCATGCTGGAGGGAGGGGAAAGGCAACGGAGGCGGCCGAAAGGGAGGCGGAGGGAGCGAGCCGCTCAGGGGGACGGGTCACGCCCCGAGCGTGTGGCGCGGCCAGCCCCACTGGCAGGCCCGCGGCGGCTGCTGCACCAGGGGGCCGGCGACGGCGGGGCGCAGTGCGGGGGTAGGCACTGCCACCCAGGGGGCAAGGGTGCCGAACTGACAGCGTCAAAGCCTGAAACACCAGGCGGTGGCAGCGCGTTCCCCAGGTGGGGGCGTGGAGGGCAGCGAAGATACACACGCTTTTGGCGTCGGCGGCTGGGCAGGAGGAACTGCTCCGGCGATGTGGCATTACTGGGTCACACAAAACGCGAATCAAGCCGCAGGGCACGCGGGAAGAGAGAGGAGGCCCGGTGCGGGTGGGAGGGAGAGGAAGCCGGGCCCGCTCAGAGCAGGGCCAGGCCGCGGCGGGGGGAGCGCCGGGGCGGGGGGCCAGCGGCGGCGGCGAGGCAGCAGCAGGGGGACACACACACACACACACACACACTCGGCTAGAACGTGTCCTGAAGATCGCCGAGCGCATCGCCGCTCCCCGATGGCCCCCCGACCCCCCCCACCGCGCGCCGTCCGGCCGTGGCGCGCCGCCCGGCTGGGAGACGGCGGGCGCGGGTCATGTGGCCGGGGCCGCCCACGGGTTCGCCTTCAGCACCGGCAGCGCCGCGTCGTCCCGCAGGGGGCGCATCGTCAGGTCCTCGGCGGCCCCCCAAAAAAACAAGCCGAGGCGATCATCTCTGGTAAAGGTCGTTACCCAGGGGGCGGACGGGGGGGATCCCCCGAGGGGGAGGAGGAGGAGGAGGAGGAGGAGGAGGAGGAGGAGGAGGAGGAGGAGGAGGAGGAGGAGGAGGAGGCACGTCGGGGCGGGGGTGCGCGGCGATCGCCGCAGTTTGCGCGCGAGCACCAGCATTGGAGGGGGGGGTCCAGAGCCACCCCACCCCCCCACGTACGATCGTTGGCACCACCCAGGGGAGGGGGGAGGCAGGTAACAAGCGCTACGCGCCAGAGGATGCAAAACGAAGCCAAGAACGGGACAGACTCGGACGAGGACGAGTCGGGGATCCAAGGGCTCCCGACGCCGCGCTTCGCGCGGCGCGAAGCGCGAAGTGCGACTAACTTCGCGCTCTCGCGCCGCCTCCCACGGGAGAGGAGGACGACGAGGAGGAATCGGGGCCCGAACGCGAAGCGCGACGCGCGAATCACTTCGCGCCCTCGAGGGCACCCCGTGGGGATCTCCGAGATCCGGCTGCTCGGGAGGGCGCAGCAGGCGCGGCGGCCGTGCCAGCGCGCTCCGGAAGAGCTCTCGCAGAGCCGCCCAGGGCGCTCTGGAGCGAGCGATCCCGCTCCTGGGCCGGTCCGATACCCCGCACCCGAGGGCCGGCGGCGAGGAGAGGAGAGGAAGTTCGGGCCGGGCGAAAGGGGGGGATAGCAAAGGGGCGGTGTGAGAGTCAGCTCGCGCAGCTGATTTTCCCGGCGCCTCCTGGCGCCAGAGGCGCCCACGTATCGAGGAATGGGCCCCTTGGTGGGGCCGAAACCAGCTGCATGCAGCAACAGAAATCGTGGGGGGTAGGTTAGGGTTCGCATGTGGCCCCCCACTTCCCTCCCCGCCCTGGCCCGCGATGGGGGCGAGCCTTCCTCCAGCGACCCGCGACGTGGGCGGTCGAGGGACAGCGGGCCACCGATCGCACCAAGGGATGGGACGACGCGGTGCAGCGGCGTGCACGGGCAGGAATCGCTCAATGACGGCCACCCCCCGCCCTTCATCATCATCCGTCGTTTCCTCGTATTTGTCTACTCCCCATCCTCATCCTCCTCCCCATGCTCTTCGTCCTCGTCGTTTGCATCATCCTGATCCTCTTCCTCCTCTGCCTCGTCCCGCTCCTCCTCCTCCTCCTCCTCCTCCTCCTCCTTCTCCTCCTCCTCCTCCTCCTCCTCCTCCTCCACCTCCTCCTCCTCCTCCTCCTCCTCATCATCAGCATCATCATCATCATCAGCAGCAGCATCAGCATCATAATCAGCAGCAGCCGCATCATCATCATCATCATCATCATCATCATCATCATCATCACCACCACCACCCCACCATCTCATTCATCATCCATATCATCATCATATCATCTCATCCTCATCATCATCATCTCATCATCATCCTCATCATCATCTCATCAATCATCATCCTCATCCTCATCCTCATCCTCATCTCTCATCCTCATCCTATCCTCATCCTCATCATCATCCTCATCCATCATCCTCATCAGCATCAGCATCAGCATCAGCATCAGCATCAGCATGAGCATCAGCATCAGCATCATCATCAGCGTCATCATCATCAGCAGCATCATCATCATCATCATCATCATCATCATCATCATCATCATCATCATCATCATCATCATCATCATCATCATCATCATCATCTGCCTCGTCTTCCTCCTTATCAGAATACGCGGTCTCTTCGTCCGCAGAGCTGCGCATCTCTGACGCAAGCAAATCTCGTCTCGAGGTCAAGCGGGACAGGTCGAACTCCCAATCGGCGAGCGACCGCGCGAACGGCGACCGGGCGATGAGCCAGCCAGAGCCCTATCGGGAGGGAGGGGGGCCGTGGGAGGATGAGCAGCAAGAGCAGGAAGAAGGAGGGAAGCAAGGAGGAGGAGGAGGAGGAGGACGAGGAGGAGGAGGAGGAGAGCACCAGCGAGGAGGAGACTGCGGGGAGGGAGGAGAGAGGATGGAGCTGGGAGAGGGAGACGGCTATGGCCGAGGCCATCTTCCTCGCCTGGGCGTTGACACTGACAACCCGCACGGACACCTCCGATCAGCCCCGCGCAGGGCTCGGAAGGAGGAGAGGGATGGGGAGAGAGGGAGGAGAGGGAGGAGGGAGAGGAGGCGGAGCAGAAGCAGCACGGGGACAAGAAGAGGAAGAGGAAGAGGACGAGGAAGAGGAAGAGGACGAGGAAGAGGACGAGGAAGAGGAGGACGAAGATGAGGAGGAGGAAGAGGAAGAGGAGGTGGAAGAGTGAGAGGAAGAGGAGGAGGGAGAGTAAGAGGAGAGGAAAGAGGGGGGAGGGGGAGGGAAGGGGGGGGGAGGGGGGAGGGGGGGAGGGGGAGGGGGAGGAGGAGGAAGAGGATGGCAAGGGGAGGATGGAAAAGGGAGGCGCCCTCCTCAGGGAGGGTCGCCGCCGGACCTCCTGCCCAACGTGGAGCTCGTCGCCGACGCTCTCGACGCGCTCGTCCTCCTTGATCTGCGCGACGCCCGGGGGGAGGCCGCCAGCGAAGGGCGCGACCGAGGCGCGCCGCCAGATGGTGCCCACATCCACCGCTCCTCGAGATCCCAGGGAAGGACTCCTGGGCGTGCTCGTCGCGGAAGCAAACGAAACAGCACAATACGAATACGAAACCAACGACTGGTAACGCATACGAATATTACTGATGCTAATCATCATCACAAGAACAATAGTATTGCAACCAACAACAACAACAACAACAACAACAACAACAACAACAACAACAACAACAACAACAACAACAACGACGACAACAACAACAACATCATGTATATATATATGTGTGTGTGCATATATTCATGAAAACATAAGCTAACTACTTGATGTCAACAGCAATGCCCAAAATTGAATACATTACGATTATGATGATAATATGATACTTAGTAATACGAATGATAATAATGATACGACGACTGATGACATTACTACCAGGAACCATAATTGGTTACTCACACTTGAAAAGTACTGCTCAGTATGACAATACATATGGCAATGAAAAGAAATAATAATACTTATAACAATAATAATGCAAACACGAACCACAACCATAACAACAAGAACAACAGCAGCTGCAACAACAACAACAACATCAACAACAACAACAACAACAACAACAACAACAACAAGTATAACAACATCCACAACAGCAGCAGCAACAACGACAGCAGCAGCAACAGCAGCAACAACAACAACAACCACAACCACAACCACAACCACAACCACAACAACAAGTATAACAACACCCGCAACAGCAGCAACAACAACAACAACAGCAGCAACAGCAGCAACAACAGCAGCAGCAGCAACAACAGACGACGGGGGGGGGCCGTTCTCGGCCTCGCGGGGCCCTCGCCCGGCCTGGGGACCGCCACCAAAAGGACTCGAGCTGAAAAAAACGACCCTGCGGCAGGGGTCGAGGCTCCCGGGGACCCCCCCACTTCGGGGGTGGCAAAGAGGGGGGCGTCCAAGAGGGGGGGGTGCAAATCATCCCATCGGACTTAAGGACCACATCCCCGAAATAATCTCGAGCACCCCCTTTGCATTGAGCCCCGTCTCTTGAGCCCCGAACGACCCTCGGGTGGGGCCCTGCCGGTTCGGGAGCGGCCAAGAGGGGGTGGTGCAAATCATGGCCGGCGGCATGTGCGCGGCCCAGGGGGGAGGCTGGGCACGTACTGAAACAAGAAGGGGCGCCATGACATGTGTGGAGAGATCATGGCCCCCGCCATGATATCCACCCTCCCCTGGCCATCACCCCCCTCTTTGCCGCCCCCGACCATTGGAAAAGGCAAGGCACCAGATCTTCGGGGAGATCCCAGGGAACAACTCCGAGGCGGCGGATGTGGACATACCCTGGCGGTGGGCACGCCCTGGGGCAGGCGGGCCAACACCGGGCCGAGAGGCAGGGCGCAGACCCCCCCCCCCCCGGTTCGGGCGGCCTCCGCCGGTGGCTGCCGGGGGGCCTCCGCGGGAAGCCCCTGGGAATCCCACCCGATCTCCGGCCTCTGGGAAGCCTCTGGGAGGCCTCTGGGAATCCCACCCGACCTCTGGGAAGCCTCTGGGAGGCCTCCGTGGGAGGCCCCTGGGAAGCGCACTGCTTCGTCCATGCCGCCGTGCTTCCTGGCTCTCGGCCCTCGGGGCCGGCCGTCGGACCCCGAGGCCACCCGACAAGGGCACCGGGGGCGAGAAAAGCTGCCCCCCGGGGGGGAGCGGCCGAGACCTGGCTGGGGCCGTGGATGGACGGAGCACATCGGCGGATGTCTGGGCCTGGAGCTCCCCACGGGCCCGCCTCCTCCTCCTCCTCCTCCTCCTCCTCCTCCTCCTCCTCCAGCTCCCTCCTCCTCCTCCTCCTCCTCCTCCTCCTCCTCTCCTCTCTCCTCCTCCTCCTCCTCCTCCTCTCTCCTCCTCCTCCTCCTCCTCCTCCTCCTCTCCTCCTCCTCCTCCTCCTCCTCCTCCTCCTCCTCCTCGGGGGCACCAGAAGAGCCCCTCCAAAAGCAAACAAAAAAATCGATCCTCCATCCTCCAGTCCCGGCCCTTCGATCCTAGATCCTTCGGTCCCGTTTGGGCAGCCTGGGCTTCCCAGACCTTCGGACGAAGTGGGTGAAACGTGAAGCGGGAAGGCTTTGAAAACAGATTGGGTTGGTGCGCCCCCCCTGAATTGGCAGAAGAGAAGGCCGCTCGGCTCTTGAAGCAGGACAGGGCTTAAAGTACATTTTGGAATCCGAAAATCCATGAACCTGATCGGACAAGAACGGGAAGCGCCAATGTTGCCCAGTGGACTCGCAGGGGGAGATAGAAACAAAGAATGATGGCGACGACCAAGACGGCGGATGACGAGGATGACAGCATGGATGACGGGGAGTGTGGCGAGGGGAGCAGGAGGACAACGAACAGGAAGAGAAGAACAAGGACGAGGAGGAAGAGATGGAGGAGGCCGAGCACGAGGAGACATAAAGAGGAGGAGGAGGAGGAGGAGGAGGAGGAGGAGGAGGAGGAGGAGAACGACGACGACAAAGACGGAGGAGGACAGTAAGGTGCACAAGGAGAAGGGCGTCGAAGAAGGGGGGGTCCTCGTGATCTTTTGAGGCTACCCTGGAGGCTGCTGGGGCCGTCTGGGGCTGCATTTTGGGGGCCTCTTGGGAGCCTTTCGGGGTCGTCTTGGGGGCTGCTGGGGTATTCTTGGGCTGCCTTGGCGTGTCTTGGGGTTCTGTTGGGGCTCTCTCAAACCGCCTTGGCGCCATCTGGAGCTGTCTTGGGGCTCTTTGGGGTCGCCCAGGGGCCGCCTGGGGCGGAAGCAGGAGCCTTTGGGACCAAGTGTGTCCGAAGCTCGAAATGAAAACAAAAAAAAAAAAAAAAAACATATGTAGCGTGTTTGCTTAGCTTGTCGGGACCTTAAAACGCTGTGACCAAATAATGTCAACACGCCGAGCTAAAAACTTGTTTTGGAGGAAAACTAGCGAAAACAAAAGCAAAAAACAAACAAAACAAAACAAAAACGCCGAGGACAGATTTAAGAAGAACCAAACATAAGGGTGATTGGCGTGCCAAACTTTGGGGTACGTGTCCATCACTGAAAAATTCCCGGAGGGCTCTGGCCAGCCCCGCTGGCCACCCAAAAGGACGCGTCAAGTGTACATCCCATCGGCTGGCCCGTGCAAGATGGCTGCCAGAGGGCCTCACGGCCAACTTGGCCCAAGATGTCCTCCAAAATGATTCCAAGACGCTTCCAAGACGCTTCCAAGACGGACGAGATGGCCCCAAAAGGGCCCAAGATGGCTCCGAGACGGCCCCCGATGATCCCAAGACGACCAACGAGGCCCCCGATGCGGCCCACGAGGGCTCCAGTAGACCCTCCAAGAAGGCCCGAAGTGGATAAATCTATGTATGCTCCACTGGTCTTCGCATGATTTTCGAGCTCAAACTTGTCGAGCGTCCATCAGCCCGAAAGCATGACCCCAAGGACCCCAAGAGGCCCCCAAGAGGACCCCAAGACGGGACAAGAGACCCCCGAGACGGCCCCCAAGACGGCCCGTGCTATTCCTCCAAGACGGCCCTGGAGCGCCCCGAGAGGGCCCCATGACGGCCCAGAGCGCCACCAAACGGGCCAAGAGCGCCCCAAGGCGGCACAAAGAGGCCCCCAAAGCCCCTCGCAAAGCTGGTCCCCCCGGCAGATGTGCAGGAGACCCCGGGCGGTCTGGCCGCCCTGGGGCGCGCGGACGTCCACGAAAGCGCCGAAGGGGACGATCCCGACCACCTCCGCGGCAGGCAGGGGTGGAGTGGGGAGGGGGAGGAGGAGGAGGAGGAGGAGGAGGAGGAGGAGGAGGAGGAGGAGGAGGAGGAGAGGAGGAAGAGGAGGAGGAGGAGGGAGGCGAGAAGGAGGAGGAGGAGGACGAGGAGGAGGAGGAGGAGGCGAGGAGGAGGAGGAGGAGGAGGGGAGGAGGAGGAGGAGGGGAGGAGGACGAGGAGGACGAGGAGGACGAGAAGGAGGAGGAGGAGGAGGAGGAAGAGGAGGGGGGAGGAGGAGGGGGAGTGGGAGGGGGAGGAGGAGGAGGAGGAGGAGGAGGAGGAGGAGGAGGAGGAGGAGGGAGGAGGAGGAGGAGGAGGAGGAGGAGGAGGAGGAGGAGGAGGAGGAGGAGGAGGAGGAGGAGGAGGAGGAGGAGGAGGAGGAGGAGGAGGAGGAGGAGGACGAGGACGAGGACGAGGAGGAGGAGGAGGAGGAGGAGAGAGGAGGAGTAGGAGGACCAATGCAAACCCAAGACTCCTCAACTTTGTTGGAATAGGCCATCCCCCCAAGCTCCCTCTTCGTGGGCCCACACAAAAATCCATTTCCACTGAAGGAAGTACCCCGTTGGGAGACAACCGTGTGAAAATCCTGAAGCGCGCCAGAACACCATTCTCAGGACTTCAACGCCACGAGTCAGCTTGACTGTTGGGTCTTGACGATCCTGAATCGCGCCAGAACACCATTCCTGGCAATTCCTGCGACTCCAACACCGTGGGTCCGGTCAACGTGACTGTTGAGCCCTGATAATCCGAACTCGTTCAAAACACCATTTCTGATACGCGAACCATGAGGACAAATGAAAGGTCTGCAATTGCTTAAAGCGCGCGCGGCGCTAAGGCGAGAGCCACCATTTGGAGAGAAATAAGAAATATGTGAAACCGCTGCAGTTTGTTGAAACGAGTGCTCGCGGCACTAAGACGAGAACCACATGTTGAAAATGAACCACGCTCCTTCCGTGAACCTCTTGCAAATATTCAAAACGAGTGCGCGCGGCGCTAAGGCGAGAGTAACATTTTGAAAACCACGCGTCATCCATCTTTAAAACGAATGTCAGTTTCTAAACTTCGGCTCATAAAGGGGTAAGGAAGTCTCAGGCGAAACGCCCAGCCCGCCCTTCCGATTGGCCACGGGATGCGACAGGGAGGAGGTATTCGTAAGGAAAAGGAATGGAGGGGAGGAGGAGGAGGAGGAGGAGGAGGAAGAGGAGGAGGAGGAGGAGGAGGAGGAGGCACTGATGGGAGAGGCACTGAGGATGAGGCAGTGAAAAGGGGGGACACTGGGGCTGGGGCTGAGAAAGGAGGAGGCACCTGAGGGGGAGGGGGGGTCACTGAAAGGGGGGGCGAAGGGAGACCCCTCCCTCCAAATCCCCTCCTCATAAATCCCTACAAGATTTACTTTCGTTGCGGGAAGTGCCACATTGCAAAGCAACCGTCTGAGAATCCTCAGGCGCGCCTAAACACCAATCCTGGGACGTCAGCGCCGTGGATCAACGTGAATGTTGCGTCCGACCAACCCTAAACCGTGCCAGGACATTGTTCCTGGGACTTCAACACAGCGAACCGACGTGACTGCTGCGTCGCGACAATCCTGAATGGTGTTAGGACGAAATTTCTGCGAGGTAAACCATACGAACTCTTGAAACTGATGCAATCGTTTAAGACAAACGTGCGCGGCGCTGAGGTGGACAGCCATATTAGTAATAAAAAGCGTTGACACTGCTACAAACGTTGAAGAAATTATTCAAATCCCTTCTCCACGGGAGGCGAGTCTTTGCATGAGCGCTCCATGCACAAGGACACACCGGTGCGCAGTTCGCAGCCCCCGAGGGAGCAGCGAGGTCTCAAATGGATATGCACAGCCTTCACCTCCGCTGTGCCTCCCATGAGCCCACGACAATGGCGACAATTACTCACTTGAACCGCGAGGTCTCAAATGGATCGGCGCTGCCCTCACCTCCGCCGTGCCTCCCAGAAGCCGAGAGGTCTCAAATGTACCAGCGCTGCCTCGCATCCGCCATGCCTCCATCGAGCCCACGAAAGTGGCGATAGTTGCGCAGTTCGCAGCCCCCAAAGAAGCCGCAAGGTCTCAAATGGATCTGAGCCCTCACCGCCGCCGTGCCTTCCAGGAGCTCACAGAAGTGGCGACGGTTGCGCAGTTCGCAGCCCCCGACGGAGCCGCGAGGTCTCAAATGGATCTGCGCTGCCCTGACCTCCGCCGTGCCTCCCAGGAGCCCACGAAAATAACGGCACGAGCACTGTTCGCAGCCCCCAGGGGAGCAGCGAGGTCTCAAATGGATCTGCGCTGCCCTCACCTCCGCCGTGCCCCCCGAGCCCACGAAAAAGGCGACAAGTGCGCATATACAGCCCCCGAGGGGACCGCAAGATCTCAAACGGATCTGCGCTGCCCCCACCTGCAGCGTGCCCCCCCCAGCAGCCCACGAAAGCGGCGACGGCTGCGCGGCTCGCAGACCCCCAGGGGGCCGCGAGGTCTCAGATGGATTTGCGCTGCCCTCGCCTCCGCCGAGCCTCCCGGCAGTCCACGAAAGTGGCGACACCTGCGCAGTTCGCAGCCGCAGGGGAGAAGCGCAGGAGGAGGCAGGAGGAGGAGGAGGAGGAAGAGGAAGAGGATGATGAGGAGGAGGAGGAGGAGGAGGAGGAGGAGGAGGAGGAGAAGAGGGAGGAGGAGGAGGAGGAGGAGAAGGAACAAATGGCACGCGTGCCATGGCTCTTGCAGAAAACGGAGGGGGAAGGAGGACGAGGAGGAGGAGGAGGAGGAAGAGGAGTAGGAGGAGGGAGAGGAGGAGGAGGAGGAGGAGGAGGAGGAGGAAGAAGAGAAGAAGGAGGAAGGGGGAGAGAGGGGACGAGAAATCGGAGAAGTCTCGGGGGGGCGGGACGGCGGGGGCGGTGCGACGCAGAAATATAATGGTTGGAGCGGAGGGGGGGCGGGGTGCACAGGGCGGGCGGGGAGGGGAGAACGATCGTGGGGGCGGGACGGTGGGGGCCGTGCGACGCGGAAGAAAACGTTCGTGGCGGAGGGGGCTGTGGGCGGGGCTCCCAGTGGAGCGCTGGGGACGCGGGGGGGCTCGGGGTGACTGGGCTGGGCTCCTACAGGGGCGCCGGGGACGCGGAGGGGGAGGATGGGGGAGGTGGTGTGCGTCGCGACGCGGAATAAAATGGTCGGGGCGGAGGGGGCACTGGGCGGGGCTTGGGGCAGAGGGCCACGGGGCGGGGGTCCAACTGGGGCGCTGGGGACAGGGGGGGGGAAAGGGGGAGGTGGTGGGCGGGGCTTCCGCTGGGGCGCTGGGGACGCGGGGGGGCTCGGGGCAGAGAGCCACGGCGCGGGGGTCCCACTCTGGCGCTGGGGACGCGGGTGGGGGAGGGTGCGACGCGGAAGAAAGTGGTCGGAGCTCTAGACACCTGTGCAAAAGAATAAAGACTGGAGACCACAATGCCATTCAAAACGAGGACCCAACACACAGGAGGGTCGGGAGTAACTCCTCCCTCTCGCACCGAGGAGCCCATGAAAATGGCGACTGTTGCCGATTCGCCCGCCTGGGAAACCGCGAGGTCTCGACTGGGTCCGCGTGCATCTCCACTTCGCTGCACCTCCCTGGAACCCACGAATATGGCGACTGCTGCGCAGTTCGCAACCACCCAGGAAACCGCGAAGCCCTGGCTGAATCTGCGTGGCCTCCCCGCTCCGCTGGACCTTCCAGGATCCCACGGAGTGGCGGGATTTCTGCTCACCTCGCAGCCACCCGGGGAGTCGCGAGGTCTCAGCTGGATCTGCGTGGCCCCCCCGCTCCGCTGGACCTCCCAGGATCCCACGGAAATGACGGGATTTCTGCTCACCTCGCAGCCACCCGGGGAGCCGCGAGGTCCCAGCTGGATCTGCGTGGCCCCCCCGCTCCGCTGGACCTCCCAGGATCCCACGGAAGTGGCGGGATTTTTGGCGTACCTCGCAGCCACCCGGAGAGCCGCGAGGTACCAGCTGGATCTGCGTGGCCCCTTACGACGCTGGACCTCCCAGGATCCCACGGAAGTGGCGACAGCTGCGCAGCTGGCAGCCATCCAGGAAGCCGCGAGAAGTCCCAGCTGGATCCGCGTGGCGCCCCCTGCTGCTGGGCCTCGCCTCGCGAGAGCCCACGAAGCCCACGAGATAGCGGCAACGGTTGCGCAGCTCGCAGCCACCTGGGGAGCAGCGCAGGGGGAGGCAGGAGGAGGGGGGAGGAGGGGGGAAGAGGAGGAGGAGGAGGAGGAGGAGGAGGAGAAGGAGGAAGATCAGGAGGAGGAGGAGGAGGAAGAGAAGAAAAAGGAGGAGGAGGAGGAGGAGGAGGAGGAGGAGGAGGAGGAGGAGGGGGGGAAGGAGGAGGAGGAGGACCAGTGTAAACCCAAGAGTCATCAACGATGTTGGAAGAATCCCTCCCTCCAAGCTCCCTCTTCATAGGCCCCTACATCGGTTAATTTCAACTGAGGGATCTGCCTCGTTGGAAGACACCGTTTGAAGACCCTGGAGCATGCCAAAACATTGTTTTCGGGATTCCAGCGCCACGGGTCAACCTGACTTTTGCATCTTGGCGGTACTGAATCGTGCCAGAACGCCATTCCTGGGACTTCAGCACCGCAAATAAACGCAACCGTTGCACCCTCATAATCCTGAATCCGTCCAAAACAATATTTCTGGTACGCTGATCATGGGAATCCGTGAGACGCCTGCACGTTTTTTTAATGAAATAGTAATTAACAGATAAATAAATAAAGAAACTTGAAGGACATAATATTAATAGTATATATATAGAATGTGCGCGTCGCTAAGGCGAGGGCCATATTTTGGAAAGGAACCGCCTTCAGTCCGTGAAAGTCTTGCACACTTTTGAAAATGCGCGCGGCGCTAAGGCGAGAAATCTTGCATGTTTGATTGAAACAAATGTGCGCGGCGCTAAGGCGAGAGCCACATTTCGAAAACGGCCC